GTATTTAAATGAGAGGTGTTGACTTTGCCTGTACATATATATATTGAAACTTGTAGAAAGAATGACGGAAGGTTAGAAGAGAACTTCACACCCAATAAAAGCATTCTTTTTTAAAAAGTGCTATGTCATTAATGCTCTTGTTGACACAGAGAGTGACATTGTGGAAAAACACAGGCACTCATGACCCTGATCTGAAAAATAGTTCTTATGAGCCAGACTATTATACCCTCCCTTTTTCAGGTGTATAGCTGTAATGTTAGATAAAAATGTGTATCTAAGTAGGCCTATTTATTAAATAAAGCACTTTCTATTGGCCTGAAATGAAAGTTCTCAAACACTGTGTCATAGTTTGTCAGCCTTTGTCAGTTGTATTGGCACATAAATATTGGAGCATCTTAAAACTGGTGACAGCTTCACTTACTGAAATCTAGTAAACAAACAAAAAAAGTATGAACGAGATAATTTAGAGAGATCAAAAACTAAATTGATAGAAGACATACCTGAGTGAAATTTCAGCTTCTCCATTTCCTGTTACATTAACTTGGACAAATGACCATCCTTCCATACACCTGTGTGAAAATCATTGAGTAAATAATGTGGGTTAAATGAAATAATACAGATGAAACGTTTAACACCACATTGCGCACGCATTTCAAGACTGCAGTTGATGATTGATATTATTATTATGATACTTAATAATCCACAGTTTTATTTTTAACAATCGAACTACTTCCAGATGTTTTTAACAGTGTATAATGGAAAGCTGTTGTATCAGTCATCCACACGAAACAAAACTATACATTTAAATGTATTAACATAAGGCATAAATCAAGCTTTTATAGTTTTGTTTATGCATTTTTTAAAATGAATGAATGAGGCATGTAAGCACTGTGCACAGTAAGCTGGATCACACATGGGTGAGTGCAGGTTGAGTCCTGGCCCTGGCCCTGGCCATTCCAGGCACATGTGTGTACATGGCAGAAATCCAAAAGGATTGCTGTGTGACCATGTCCTGTTGGCAGGTGCTTTCTTCCTCTCTCTCTCTCTCTGGTGAGTGCACACATCCTCTGGCAATTTTTTAAGCATATGTTATTAAGAAGTCAGAGGTGTGGAGTCTGGCTACTGGAAATGAGCAGGGTCCTGGAGGCTGCCTGCAATGCCAAATATTAATTTTAATTTCTGAATTGTGAGGAAGTCCAGGAATCCTGAAAGGAAGAGATAGTTTCAGGACAGCACAGTTGGCTAGAGTTCTGAAAATGTTTTAGAACTTTAATATCTAGTGCATCTGCAATGGTGGTGCTTGTTGAGTAACTGGCTCTGTGGTGTGATGTGCATTTATCCTCGTACAATAGGGTGAGCACTGAAAAATCGAAAAATTGGTGCACCCGGACCAGGTTTCAGCACCTGGTTCTTTAACTCGCAGGGTAACTTATAAGTCATTTTTCTTCCTCCAGTTCAGTTTTTCCATTAGGCCAAATGATGCTAAAGCATCTTTCCAGCTATAACATTTATTTTCACAATTCTAAACCCCAGTCCAGGAACTCTTTTTATTCTTTGCTACAAAGAAAGGCAATGTTGTTTTGTGGTTGAGAGCCTGGGTCCCACTACTGTATCTGAATCCTGCTCAGTGCTGTAGGGCAGGCTCCTTAAATCTCCTACGTCCCCTTTCTCTCAACTATAAAATGGGGATTACAGTAGCACCTATCACATGGGTTGTGATGGGAGTCAAAGGGCTAATGACTGAATAGTATTCAGCACCATGCTTGGTACAGCAGCACTCAAGGGATGTTAGTCCTTGTTAGATGTAGTAGGTAGAGGAGGTAAAGAGCTATAGAACATTTTTCTTGATCCTTCAAATCCACCCATGAATTTCAAGGTTATTTGTCAAGTCCAAGTTTCCCTAGTTCTTGAGTCCCAGTGTTAATGGAGTGTTGAGAATCACAGGAGTGGTGGCATGGGGCCATGTCTCAAGACATGTGCCAGCTATGGCCCAAGGGCCTACTCTCTGATGTCTCAATCTGTTTGGCAGAACTCTGCCACATGTCAACTCTTTCTGAGCTACAAAAATGTTTGAGTTCCTGGTGCAGTGAGATGTCTAACAAAGGAGAATTTTACCTTTTGTAGAAAATTGGAAGTGGTATTTATAAGACTCCTTATTTCAGATGTTCTCCTTGTCAATGTGGAGGTGGTTTAGGCTTAGGGATGTGGTTGAGGTTCTGGACAGACCATCTCCCAGTTAGAAATTTCTTTAAGAAGTCTAATTTGAGGGGTTAAATTCAGAATTTTAACATAAGAGGGAAAAACGAATACATTATAACCGGGTATAAAGTGATTGAAATTCTGGGGGCTGGCAGGTTACAATATGATGGTTAAGGGTGCTGGACTACCACCACATGGCTGACTGCAATTCATGTCCCAGACTTGACAGTTCTCTCCCTCTCTCTCTTTCTCTAGTAAAATTAAAATAAATAAAGTTAAATTTAAAAATTTTTTTTAATAAAAAAATTTGTATTTACTTAGAAGCATTCAGAATGTCAACAAAACAGCTGCAACTTTTTTTTTTTTCAATTACAGAGTGGTATTCAGTTAACAGAACAACAATTATTTCGTATAAGCTGCATCAGAGACAACTGAAGATGAAAAA